AAATTGCAAAACAAGATAAGTGTCGTGGTTAACCTTGACTTGAGGGAATAAAACCCTTGAAATATTTGTTAAGTGAATTACATGTGTAATGACGTATAGGCGAGGTGACGAGTGCCTATACGTCGTCAAATTGATTGTTTACATATTTATCTGAAAATCATAAATTATTTTAAATTATGAATTAATTATTATATTAATTATTTCTCTAATATTCCTTGTCCAGTTTTATGTCTTGGATTCATGCTATAATTGCTACATGCTTATTTGAATTATGTGTCTTAATTGCTACTTGACATTTAGCATATTAAATATTAAATTACCTATTTTTTCCCTGATTTCCATAATTAATTGCTACTTGCCATTACTTATTTCCTAAATAAATCATAATTATTGTATGCTTTGTTGCCTAATAATTCCTTATTAAATGTGGTATTTATTAGAGTTTTTTTACATTTAAGAGTTGTTTAATTATATTGATGGAGCGGGTTGCACACCGCAACGAATTTATTTTAAGTTTATATTGTTGGAGCCGATTGCACGCCGCAACGGATTTATTGAAAGTTTATATTGTTGGAGCGGGTTGCACGTCGCAACGGAATTAAATTGAAAGATTATATTGTTGGATCGGGTTGCACGCCGCAACAGAATTATTCTAAGTTTATATTGTTGGAGCGGGTTGCACGCTGCAACAAAAATTAATTGAAGGTTTATGACTTATGGATTGACCTCAATTATTGATATGATTTACGGCTTTCCAACCATGCCCCATGACCCCTTGGACGCGCCCCATGGCGTCCTGGCAAGCTTCCCAACGCCTGTCGCCACGGTCGGCCCCATGGTCTCGGCAGCTCCAAGTGACAAGCGCGCATGTGCCTCTGTCGCCCCATCGATAGCCATCGCCAGCGCCCAGCCACAAGCAGATGCCAACAGCGCCGCGCGCACAGACCCTGATGCTAAAGACAAAGTTGCTGCCAACAGACTTGTTTCTGCTTTGTAGAAGACTAAGTCCTTTTCATTGTAAATATAGAGTAGTTTTACTACATTTTCTTTAAGTGTGATTTTCCAGCTTTCATAGATCTAGTCATGTAACTTTGGTTTATTTTTTTTAAGCATTATTAAGGGGGATCAAGCAATCAAACTTTCAAGCAAGCAAACAATTCTCTGTACTGGTGTCTCTCCCCCCGACACCGTGTTGTTTTTCTGTAATAGATTTCATTCAATGCAATCAAGCTTTCTTTCATTCTCAATTCTCTTTTCTGCTCTCTTTCTCAATTGATCACGACATTGGTTTTCCCGTACGGCACTGACAATCTAGTCTAGCGTACGGAGGGGACCTCAGTTGGCGGACAGCAACCGTACTGACANTCGCACTAACATCGGGTGCTTAGCCTTATATCGCCCTTCCAAGGAACTTCAGGAAGGCACCGCGTAACAGTTGGTATCAGAGCCTAGGCTCGACATCAGACTAGGGATTACATTGCCATTACCACCATTTCTGAGCATGGTGAATTATGGGGATCGCATCGCGACCCTTGAAGGAACGGTTGACGCATTACGACCCATCGTGGAAATGGTGCCTGACCTAAAGACCAGCCTAGTGCAAAGGTTGGATGACCTGGACTGCAGACTGATCCAGGCCGAAGTTGACATAGAAAACATCTGTCGCGACTCTGAAGGAGACCGGCAAACGACAGCCATAGAGGTAGCCAAAATATTTGGTAAATTTGAGGTCCTCCAACAGGAGCGCGCCGAGGATTTAGCCAACGGGACACAAGAGGCAAACAAGATGACTACCATGCAACAAACTATAGACAACTTGAGAGGCCAGATCAACGTTGTCAATGCTGCTTTACAAGGCTTGCTTCGAGGAGGTGGAAACCAAATCGGGGGTATTGTAAACCTCGCCCCTGTGGCCCAAAAAGTGAAAATTCCTGAGCCAAAGCTATACAGTGGAGCTCGGAATGCCAAAGAAGTGGAAAACTTCATCTTCGACATCGAACAATACTTCGATGCCGTGGGAGGCCTAGAAGAAGTTAAGAAAGTAGCAACTGCTGCCATGTGTCTTCAGGGTGATGCCAAACTCTGGTGGCGGGTGAAATACGAAGCCATCAAAGTTGGTGAAGATGCCCTCGAGACATGGGTAGAACTGATGGCAGCCATACGCCTACAGTTCTTCCTTGAAAATGTTGAGTACAATGCTAGGAGAAAGCTACGGAAGCTCCGCCAGACCAAATCAGTGCGGGATTACGTGTGGGAATTCTATGCGCTCATGCTGAACATCCGCGACATGGGGGACAAAGAAAAACTCTTCACCTTCTTGGAAGGGTTGAAACCTTATGCTCGCATGGAGTTGCAAAGACAAAGGGTAGACACGTTACCTAAGGCAATCCAAGCAGCAGAGTGCCTTGGGGATTATCAAGTGGAAGCCCGGAAGGACAGGCCTCAACAGCATGTCCGAGGAGGATACAAAGGAGGCCAGCCGAACACTGGTGGCCCTAGCAGAAGTGGAGGAGACCAGAGTGCAACCAAATATAAGGCTCCCTCCTCAGGCAGTACTAGCGCTGCATCTAACAACAATGATCGGGGGAGGAAATCCCCCTCAGGATACCGTCATTGCGGCGGACCACATTGGAATAATGAATGCCCACATACACATATGAACGCCCATCAAGCTTTTAAGGATGGGACAGATGACGATGACGATGATGCAGACCAGACCGAACCAGTTGGTGCATTCAATGCCATTGTTGGCTCTATTTCTGAGCCCCTAGCGGGAACCAGTACTGGTATCCGTAAGAAGAAGGACCCCTGTCCAATCGCCAAGAAAGGGAAAAAGAAGGCGAACGATAGGACTCCTCCTCATCAAGAGAGGACCTTAATGTTCATTGACATGAAGGTAAATGGCAAGCCCATTCGGGAAATGATAGACACGGGTGCTACCCACAACTACTTAGCCTCAACTCAGGTGGAGCGCCTTGGCCTAGTTGTACAAAAGGGAAAAGGTCGTGTCAAGGCTATCAACTAACCACCTCAGCCAGTGGGTGGAATAGCCAAAGAAGTACCGGTGAAACTTGTCCCTTATGAAGGAAAGTTCAACCTACGCATGGTGATCATAGATGACTTTGAGTTGATAGTGGGGTTGGAATTCCTGAGACAGACCAATACCATGCTCGCACCGTATGCAGACTTGCTACTGATGATGGGAGAAAATGGAGCTAAGCCCTGCATTATTCCATGCATTCCCATGAAGATGGCCACCGAGAACATCTCGGCCTTACAGTTGAAGAAGGGGGTAAAAAGACATGAACCCACGTTCCTGGATACCCTCTGCATGGAAGATATAGAACGCTCCTCGGGTCCCATTCCTGTACCCGTGAAGGAGTTGCTTCTGAAATTTGAAGACATCATGCCACAAGACATGCCAAAGCATCTTCCGCCTAGGCGAACTGTGGACCATGAGATTGAGTTGGTGCCGGGTGCGAAGCCACCTGCCCGGGCACCGTACAGAATGTCACAACCCGAACTCACCGAGTTTCGGAGACAATTGACGGAAATGTTAGACACAGGGATCATCGTGCCCTCCAAGTCCCCATATGGGTCCCCTGTGCTATTCCAAAAGAAACATGATGGTAGTTTACGACTCTGCATGGATTACCGGGCTCTAAACAAAATCACCGTGAAAAACAAGTACCCTATTCCGCTAATGGAAGACTTTTTTGATAGACTGGGTGGTGTGACGGTATTCACCAAAATAGACCTGAGGATAGGTTATTGGCAAGTTTGGATTGCAGAGGGTGATGAGCACAAGACGACCTGTGTGACAAGATATGGGTCGTACCACTTCCCGGTTATGCCCTTTGGCTTGACTAACGCGCCGACCACATTTTGCACCTTGATGAACCAAGTCTTTCGAGAATACATTGATGAATTCCTCATGGTTTATTTGGATGACATTGTGGTATATAGCCAGACACTGTAAGAACACCTGGAGCATTTGCGGAAGGTCCTAGCCCGATTGCGGGAGCACGAATTATATGCGAAGCTATCCAAGTGCTCTTTTACTCAGAAACAAATTGACTTCCTCGGACATGTCATCGAGGAAGGGTGGATCAAGATGGACCGGCAGAAGATTTAGGCCATCATAGAATGGCCACCTCCTAAGGATATCCACGCCTTGAGGTCGTTCCTTGGCCTATGCAACTTCTATCGGCGTTTTGTGAAAAGTTACTCCCTCATTGCAGTGCCGCTGACAGAACTTCTCAAGAACGTCACACCGTAGGATTGGGGCCCCAAGCGGGCAGAGGCCTTCGACGCATTGAAAATGGCTGTCTAGTAGTCCAGTCTTGGCCCTCCCTGACTTGGCCAAGCCATTCGAAGTGCAAATGGATGCCTCCGACTATGCACTTGGTGGAGTATTGCTACAAGAAGGGCATCCCATAGCGTACGAGAGCCGGAAACCGAAGGATGCAGAGCGGCGCTATGCCACCCATGAGAAAGAATTGTTGGATGTCGTTCATTGCTTACGCCTTTAGAGGCATTATCTACTAGGAGCCCCATTCGTGGTCAAGACAGATAACACAACCGTTAGCCATTTCATGACCCAGCCAAAGCTGAATGGTCGACAGGCTAGGTGGCAGGAACTCCTAGCGGAATTTGACTTCAACCTGGAGTACCGAAGTGGGAAGACCAATCATGTTGCTGATGCACTAAGTCGGAGAGCTGATCTAGCATCGGTGTGTGTACTCGCCGCCCTAAGGGGAAGCGAAGTAACCACCACCATAAAAGACCAGATACAGGATCTACTCATCAAGGATCCTGCTGCACAGTATTTGGTTGATTTGGTAGGATAGGGCAAGACTCGCCAGTTCTACACCGAAGATGGTTTCCTGAAAGTGAAAGGGAACCGACTTTATGTTCCTAAAGGAGGAGATCTGCGAAGGGCTCTTCTGGCGGAATGCCACGATACTTTGTGGGCCGGTCATCCCGGTGAGGAACGCACCATGGCATTGCTTCGCCGTGCATATTATTGGCCTCAAATGGTTGATGACATCGCTCAGTATGTGAAGACTTGTCTAGTAAGCCAGAAGGATAAGTCAGACCGCTTGATGCAGGTAGGGCTCTTGGAACCACTAGCTGTCCCAAAAAGACCTTGGGAAAACGTTTCCCTGGACTTCAGCACCGGATTGCCCATGGTCGGAGATCTCACAACTATCTTGGTTGTGGTGGATCGGTTTTCCAAGTATGCGACCTTTATAGCAGCCCCACAATATATATCAGTAGAAGATACAGCTCGACTATTCTTCTCTCATGTCGTAAAATATTGGGGCCTACCTAAAGATATTTTTAGTGATCGCAACTCACGCTTCACTAGCAATTTTTGGACCCAACTCTTTAAGTGTCTCGAGTCAAAATTAATTCATAGCTCAAGTTTTCATCTGCAATCTGATGGCTAGACGGAGCGATTCAATGGCATGCTAGAGGAATATCTCCGGCACTTTGTGACCGAATCGCAGAAGAACTGGCTGAAGCTTCTAGATACTGCTCAACTGTCTTTCAATTCACAAAAGAGCTCAAGTACCAACAAAAACGCTTTTGAAATTATTACCGGACAGCAACCGCTACTCCCACACACAGTGAATGCACCAAACATGTCAAAATCTCTTCGGGCTGCTAGCTTCTCAAAAGAATGGAAGCAAAATTTGGAGATAGTGCGGAGCTATCTTGTCAAAGCCCAAAAGCGGATGAAGAGGCATGCTGATCAGAATCGCCGCTTTGTTGAATACCAAGTGGGAGACAAAGTGATGGTCAAAATCCCAAAGCCATACTTGTTTGCAGGGGTCCATGACCCTCGCCTATTGCAAAAATATATTGGACCCTTGTCCATTGAAAGGCGCATTGGGAAAGTTGCATACCGGGTGAATACCCCAGCTTGGTGGAAAATCCATCATGTTTTCCATGTCAGTCTCCTGAAACCTTTTTGGGAAGATATGTAGGATCCTTCACGAAACCAACTCATAATACCAAGTATTCGAGGTCCCAATTCAACCGGGAAAAGGCGTTCTGAAGCTATTCTTGATGATCGAGTGATTCACACCTCAAGAAAAGATCATCAGGAGTTCTTGGTGAAATGGTAGGGATGTGATGCAGAGGAGAATACTTGGGAGAGGGGAACAAACCTCAAAGCCTACAAGAGCCTAATTGATGATTACCTTGCAAGGAAGGCGCCGAGGACATCGCCAACTCAGGTGGGGGAGAATGTCATGGGCGGCTTTCCAACCATGCCCCATGACCCCTTGGATGCGCCCCGTGGCGTCCTGGCAAGCTTCCCAAAGCCCGTCGCCACGGTCGGCCCCGTGGTCTCGGCAGCTCCAAGTGACAAGCGCGCATGTGCCTCTGTCGCCCCACCGATAGCCGTCGCCAGCGCCCAGCCACAGGCAGATGCCAACAACGCCGCGCGCGCAGACAATGCCTCACGCGCAGACCTTGATGCTAAAGACAAAGTTGCTGCCAACAGACTTATTTCTGTTTTGTAGAAGACTAAGTCCTTTTCATTGTAAATATAGAGTAGTTTTACTGCATTTTCTTTAAGTGTGATTTTTCAACTTTCATAGGTCTAGTCATGTAACTTTGGTTTATTTTTTTTAAGCATTATTAAGGGGGACCAAGAAATTAAACTTTCAAGCAAGCAAACAATTCTCTGTACTGGTGTCTCTCCCCCCCGACACCATGTTATTTCTCTGTAATAACTTTTATTCAATGCAATAAAGTTTTCTTTCATTCTCAATTCTCTTTTCTGCTATCTCTTTTAATTGATCACGACATTGATTTTTCCGTATGGCACTGATAATCTAGTCTAGCGTACGGAGGGGACCTCAGTTGGCGGACAACAATCGCACTGGCGTCGGTTGCTTAGCCTTACGTCGTCCTTCCAAGGAATTTCAGGAAGGCGCCACGTAACAGTAATAACGTATAGGCGAGGTGACAAGTGCCTATACGTCGTCAAATTGATTGTTTGCATATTTATCTGAAAATCATAAATTATTTTAAATCATGAATTAATTATTATATTAATTATTTTTCTAATATTCCTTGTCCAGTATTATGTCTTGGATTCATGCTATAATTGCTACATGCTTATTTGAATTATGTGTCTTAATTGCTGCTTGACATTTAGTATATTAAATATTAAATTACCTATTTTCTCCCTGATTTTCACAATTAATTGCTACTTGTCATTACTTATTTCCTAAATAAATCATAATTATTGTATGCTTTGTTGCCTAATAATTTCTTATTAAATGTGGTATTTATTAGAGTTTTTTTTTTTACATTTAAGAGTTATTTAATTATATTGATGGAGCGGGTTGCACGCCGCAACAGATTTATTTTAAGTTTATATTGTTGGAGCGGATTACACGCCGCAACGGATTTATTAAAAGTTTATATTGTTGGATCGGATTGCACGCCGCAACAGAATTATTCTAAGTTTATATTATTGGAGCGGGTTGCACGCTGCAACAAAAATTAATTGAAGGTTTATGACTGCTGGATTGACTTCAATTATTGATATGGTTTACCAGTCTTACTTCTATTCCTGCTATTATCATTATTATTGCGTACATGTTAATGTAAGCAACCTGCCTTAGCCTCGTCACTACTTCTTCGAGGTTAGGCTCGACACTTACAGAGTATATGGGGTCGGTTGTACTCATACTATACTCTGCACTTCTTGTGCAGATACTGGAGTTGGTCCCAACGGCGTACTGCAGATTTGCTCGGATTCAGCTATTAGAGGAGACTTGAGGTATAGTTGCACAACGTTCGCAGCTCTGAAGTCTCCTTCTACTTTATCCTAGCTGTGTGCTTTCTTTCAGACAACTTTATTTTTATTCAAACCCTTATTTGTATTATTCTAGAAGCTCGTGCACTTGTGACTTCAGTTCTGTAATGGTATTTAGATATCGTATTATTTTTGGTTTGCACATTTAAATTTAGATATTATTTCGGTTGTTGGTTTCTTTATTACTTAATTAAAAATGAATTGTTAAAAATGGTTTAAATTATTCTAACGTTGGCTTGCCTAGCAAGTGAAATGTTATGCGCCATAACGGTTCCGAAGGTTGAAATTTCAGATCGTGACAATAAAGTTTCTCAATAAGAAAATATTAAAATGTGTTATTCTTTGTTAAAAGAAATAATAAATAAATAGTATCAAATAAAGTGGAACGAAGGAAATAGCACATATGGAAATGTCCAAAAATCGCTTGAAAAGTAAGCAATCTCGATAAAAGAATGTTATAGTTTAGGCATGGGATGGTCTCAAAGGCTTCTTCAATGCGTGACCAACAATAAGCACAATCGTCGATTTATATGTCACAAATAATAAATTCTGTTAGGACATAAATCATGTGAAGCTATACATATGTATATTTACTTCCCCCTAGCAATATCACAATTTCATGTTCGATCTTTTTATTAATTACCGTTCATGACTTATTTATAGTTTCAATTCTATCTATGATTGCCTTTGAATTAAAGTTGCAATATATCGATTAAGCCGATTGGAAAGTTAATAACAAATAATAAAATAACAAATAAGCGAGTGGGCTGATATTATAAAAAATGCTTCGCAAAACAGGATTAGATGAGTTGAAATTTTTGAAGGTTAAAGTTAAACCTGTCGGCGCTGTTTGTTATCCCGGTGTACTTTAGTTTTTAAAAAAATGTTTACCAAATACTTTTACTTGTTGCCTTTAATAAACTATTTGATGAATTTATTCTTGACTTACAACTTGGTATAGATATCATTATACCAATTAAGGCTGGCAAGTGGGCCGGTCCAGGCTCGGGACCGCGGGCCAAACGGTTTAAATGGGTCAAACGGGCCAGGACCGATTTTAGTGGACCTGGGCCGGTCTCGTGGGTCGATCCTATGCTTTGAGCCCGTCAGGACCGGGACCATTTAGCCCGCTAGGGATCGAGACCGGACCGGTCCCTTAGCGGGCCAAACGGTCCCAACGGTCAACTTTTAAAAAAAAATAAAAAAATTTAAATTTAAAATATAGCCGTTGGGCTGTCAAAAATAGTCGTTGGCTATTTATAAAATAGTCATTTAATCCCTTCCCCCCCCCCCCCCCC